GAGCTCCCTGGTGGGTGCATGGCTAATTCTAGAACCATTTCTGTGGTGGCCCCAGCCTCTCGGTCCCCACAGATTAGAAGGGGAACCAGGTGCTTCGATAGTACCACGCAACAAAGAACACAATGACAGAAGGAATATGGGGATTTATATGTCCTGTGCCGGCCCAGCATGAAGCTAGGCCTTTGTTTCAGCAAGGAGTGTTCCTCCTGCAACTGTTTAAGAACTCTGCTCACCCTCAACACATAGCCTCCAAGGCTGCTCTGCTCCCAGCTAGCTAGCAGGAAGAAGAGAGAGCCCGGCGGCAGGTACACACCCACTGTTCCAGCTCTCACAATGCGGGTGAGAACTGGACACTCAGCCCCCCTCCCCAATACCTGCAAGGGGAGCTGAGGAGCCAGGCACTTTGTAAGCCTCTCCTTCATTGCCCTAGTCATCTCACTGGACCCTTGGTCTAACACTCCGCACAGGTGAAGGCATCATTGGTCAGAGTCTGAACCAGCCTTCCCTAGGCAACACCTTTTCCTACCCATAAAAACAACTTTTCTAAACCAGGCCGTGGTAGCACACACCTTTAATTCCAGCACACAGAAGGCAGAGGCAGATCTTTGTGAGTTCAAGGCCAGCCTACAGAGCAAGTTCCAGAACAGCCGGAGCTGCTACACGGAGAAACCCTGTCTTGGGGAAAAAAAAAAAAAAAAAAAACTTGTCCAGATCTTTCTTGTTCTTCTCAAAGTCATGAAAGGCCACCCCCAACAAATGGCCTGTCCTCGGATTGCAGGAGCAGAGGAAGTGCTCATCTCCTTCAGCCCTCTTCCCTAGTCCCTACACCAAGCCCTGCTCCCGACACACCAGTCTTCCTTCCTTTCCGCTTGTCCTAGCAGAGAATGCTGCTTCTCTGGAGACGTTCTTCCACCTACTTCCTTAGATGCTTCTTGTCTTTCTAATCTGATTAATAGTCTCATAATTTCAATATCGTTGTCATCTCATTAAAATATTAAAAACCTGTGGGCTGAAGCTGTCGGCTACATGTCTCTTGTTGTCTTTTTTTTCTTTCTCAATTTTTTTTTTTTTTTTTTTTTTTTTTTTTTTTTTTTTTTGGTTTTTCAAGACAGGGTTTCTCTGTGTAGCCCTGGCTGTCCTGGAACTCACTCTGTAGACCAGGCTGGTCCTGAACTCACAGAGATCTGCCTGCCTCTACCTCTTAAGTACTGGGATTAAAGGTGTGCGCCACCACCGCCACCCTGGCTCTTGTCATTTTTTAATTTCACTTGTTTATGTGCATATGTGTGTACTTGTTCCTCTTTGTGCCACAGAGCACATGGGACAGTTAGGACGACCCACAGGAAGGAGTCACTCCTCTCCTGTGGATACTGGGGATGGAACTCAAGGTCATCAGACTTGATGGCGAGCTCCTTTATCTCCTGAGCCATTTCGCCAGCCCCGAACTTGTGTCTTTTCCCATGACAAGTAGGTAGTAAGCGTGGATACAGTTGTATCAGCTCATGTCATGGCTAATGATGGCACCTCAGTCCTTAAGAATTAACTACATTATGTTTTATATGAAAGATGAGACAAAGTGGGATGTGTGTGCACATGTGTGTGTGCATGTGTGTGTGTTCAACTTAGTGCTTATGGAAGTACATACTGCCTTGTTTATTTCTTAGGGATCAAAGATACAGTTCGTTTCTTTTGTGATCAGTAAGTGAGATATATAGAAGTGATTATAGAGCTGGGCGTGGTGACACACACCTAGAATGTCAGCCCTGGTAAGGCTGTACCAGGAGGATTGATAGTTCAAGACAGAGCAGAGGAGGGAAGGACTTGCACCCTGTTAGATATCATGAGTAATTCTGAGATGATTTAGTGTATACAACAGGATGTGCATTGGTTAGTGGTAAATACTAAGCCACTCTACAGTTGAGACTTAGCGGCCGTAGGCTTTGTATTTGCAGGTTTTGAGAGACAATCCCTACAGACACAGAAGGGTCTGTATACGTGTGTAGGACAGTCTAGGTCTGTGTATGTATATAGAACAGTCTAGATCTGTATACGTGTGTAGGACAGTCAAGGTCTGTATACGTGTGTAGGACAGTCAAGGTCTGTGTATGTATATAGGACAGTTTAATCTGTATACATGTGTAGGACAGTCAAGGTCTGTGTATGTATATAGGACAGTTTAATCTGTATACATGTGTAGGACAGTCAAGGTCTGTGTATGTATATAGGACAGTTTAGATCTGTATACGTGTATAGGACAATCTAGGTCTGTATTCGTGCATAGGACAGTCAAGGTTGATGGTTTTCCTAGAAATCATTAATATTAATACTAATGCTGCATTTTATTATTGGGATTTTCATCTGATAGGAAAACTATTTAAGTCTTTGTCTTCACGTGTCCTTAGTTACAATTTTATGAGCTGCTCTTTTTTTTTTTTAACCTTGGCTTCTGATATTTTCTCTGGGAAAAACCTTAAACAGAAGCTGGGTGGCCTTGAGGCACAGTTTTTAATAAAAGCTCTGCTGAGTCATCATTTCATGTAAAATCCTAACCAGATCCATTATTGTTAAAGTAAGGTAACACATTTCCAAGGTTAACTTTCTCCGTGGTTGCCCCCATGAACAGCACATGCTCATTGAGTGACATTTAATTATTGCTAAATTCAATTACATATTTCTGATAAGAAAAATGCAGTTACATTCAAGAGAGCAGATTGTCAGGAATTTATTCACAAAAGCCAAATTTAAACCATAGAATTTTTTTTTATATGTGTGTTAGTGTTTTTTTCCTGCATGTATGTCTATGTGAGGGTGTCGGATCCCCTGGAATTAGAGTTACAGACAGTTGTGAGCTGCCATGTGGGTGTGGGAATTGAACTCGGGTTCTCTAGGAGAGCAGTCGATGCTCTTAACCACTGAGCCATCTCTCCAGCCCCAGGATTTTGTTTGTATAAAATTATAGCCAGTGCCAGGCATGATGACTCGTGTCATCTCAAAAAGCCCAGGCAGAGGGATTGTCACATGTTTGAAGCCAACCTGGGCTCCAAAGTGAGACCTAAGAAAAAAGAAATAATAGTAAAAACACTATTCAGTACCACAGGGGGAAGTGTCTAGAATATACTGTTGATGACATAGTTTGCCGTTGGGTGACGGTTTAGTTTTAACTACAAAGGAATACCTCTTTTCTTCCTCTTTAAAAAAAAAAGAAAAAATTACACTAGAGGTGGAGAGGTGACCCGGTGGATAAGAGCACTTACTGCTCTTGGAGAGGATCTGGGTTCAGTTCTGATACCCGTGTGGCGGCTCACAATTACCTACCTGTACCTGCAGTTCCAGGGGCACTGCTGTGATGCTTGTAGTGTACACATCATAGACAAGTACTCCGCCACTAACTACATCCCTGGCCTTGAGTCACAGTTTGCTGTTGTCTGTGAAATAGCCAAACAAGCATCTATCTCAAAACTAAGTAGTTAATAAGGATATATTACAACAGGATTTATTTCAGACACGTATGAAAATGCCACAGTGCGACCCATTTAAAAATTTTTTTACATAGCACAGGATTCTAACTGCTCATCAGGACACTGATGTGTATGAGAATGAGGGAAGTGGTAGGTTTTCCTCTGTGTGGGGTACAGCTGACTAGCCCATCCCAGAATCAGGCAGCCTGCATCCACACTCCTGCAAAGTGACCTTGAGAAAGGCCTTTTACCTCTCTGCCACTATTCCCTTACCTGTGGCAGAAGCAATTGCATTTCCCAACACCCAGTGTTGTTATAGGGTTTAAAGGCATTATTGCTCTATTGTGTGCTTAGCAGTCCCAAGTCCAGCGGTTGGTGTAGGGTCGCGTATTTGCTTATAGTGTTGAGCAGGGAACCAAACAAAGAAAAGAAAAAGAAAAAACTGAACCTACTTGAAAGAAAGTGTATCTGCTGACATGAAAGAAAAGGTATAAGTCTGAGGGAGGGAGGGAGTTTAAGAGTAACTAATCTAGCATCTGCCTCTGAAAGGACTTAGTGCCGAAAGACAGTAGAGAATGAGGGCCTAGCTAGGCTGCCCTCCTTCAGCAGGCAGGGACTCAAAATTTCCCAAACTGCTGCTGTGGGATTGGAGTGACAGAAGACACTAACCAGGTCCTCAGAGTGACTGGTTTTATTGATTTGTCATTAAGGCTAATCACAGTGCTATAATAGTTCTTTGATCTGTGAACTATTTCTGTCCATGGAAAAATAAAGAATGTAAAGTTTTGTGTATTTGAAGCAAGGTAGCCCCAGCTAACCTGGAGCTTGATATTTAGACCAGGTTGTCCTCGAACTCAGAGAGATCCACCTTTCTCTACCTCTCAGGTACTAAGATTAAAGACATGCATTGTCACACTCAGATAAATGCAAATTTTTTAAATGTACCCTTTTTTTAAATCCACTTTATTTCTTTAATATTTATTTTTATTTTATGTACATTGCTGTTTTGCCTCATGAATGTCTATGTGTCAGATCCCCTGGAACTGGAGTTACAGACAGTTGTGAGCTGCCATGTGGGTGCTAGGAATTGAACCCAGGTCCTCTGGAAGAGTACCCAGTGCTCTTAACCACTGGGCCATCTTTCCAGCCCTGATAAATGTGAAATTCTAAAGACTAATGGAGCAATAGATGTTGTCATGTCTTGTACTGTTTTATTTATGCATTTATTAAATGGTTCTTTGATTCTGGTTACTGAGTTACATTCTATCAGACCTCAGAGATTTGTTGTTGACTCTAGGATCTCAAAGACACTTGATGTTGTCCTCCCAAAACCTCATACATAAAAACCTGTTGAAAACTGGACCATCATCCTCTGCATTGGACCCCAGTGTAGTATATATCCAGAGATGGATGTGTATTTATATAAAATTACTCAGAATAAGTAATCTCTTTTTTAAAAACATGGTCTCACTCTATAACCCAGGCTGATACACAATAAACTGTGTAGCACAGGTGTTTCATGAGTGCCTTTGTGACTTCCAGGTCCGCTGGATGATGTACTGGATTGTCTTTGCCCTCTATACTGTGATTGAAACAGTGGCCGATCAGACACTTGCATGGTAAGTTCCTCCACTCTAGGGGACTCAGGCGCTCTCAGGTGTCCTAAGTTCTTAGCCTGCTCTTGCTTTTCACCATGAGAAATAGATCAAGCAACTTAATTACCCAGCATCTTTTCCTTTCTCTGTCTTCCCCGTGACAACGGCGCTTTCTGTGGAGCCCGCCCTCAGGAAGGCAGCTCACTGTGCTCATCCCTGCCCACCCCCCACTCCCACCAGCGTCTTAAAATAGAGAACCTGGCTGTCATCATCCGCTTTCCACACTCATGACTTCAGACGTTCTCTCGATGGCTTCCGAAACGACTCCTCTCCAATCCGCAGCATCTGGTCGGAGCCCTCCCTCCCTCCCTCCCCAGCCCGACAGCTCTGAGCACGAACACTGAGGCTACACCGTGTCAGCAGCCACGTGGACACCCACCCACTTGACAGCAGCTCCCCGGCGGCTCCCGCAAAGCACCATGAGGCGTAATTACAACATGTTCATTCCCTCATGGAGCTCACAGTTTACAGAGGACCCATACTTAAGGACTCGAGTCTCCTCACGTGGTATTTCCGAGTACCTTTCCATCCAACCGTGCTATTAGAGAAGTCTCCTTTCTAAACGTGGAAACCCGAGACCTTGCTAGTGTTTCCGTTTCTTCCCATGCGTCATAGACTGGAGCTGAAATTAACCCAGTTATCTTTTCTTTACCTGAGCTACTAAATACAGACAGACAGGCAGACAGACAGATAAGGCAGGTAGATAGATACATCAGACTGTGGTATTGACTTGAACCCCGCCATCCCTTTCTATTCCTTCTTGGGCCTGCTTTACACCATTTCCAGTCTCATATTCCCATACAACATTATATCATGCCATCACACAGATTTGTAGGAAAAGTATATATCCTCAGACTCAGACTTCAATATTCTTTTCTTTCTTTCTTTTCTTTTTTTACATGGTCTTACTGTGTAACTCTAGCTGGTCTGGAATTGGCTTGTGGACCAGGGTAGCCTTGAACCTACAGAGGTCTTCCTGGCTCTGACTCCTGAGTGCTGGGATTAAGTGCATGGCTCGCCATACCTGGCCAGACTTAAACATTCTTAACCCCTTATTTATGAGTTGGTTCAAATCAATATCTGTCTCTCGCCCACCTCTGTCACCCCCTCCTCCCCCACCTTACCTTCTTCTTCCCCCCTTCCCCTCTCTCTCCCTCTCTTCCCCCACCCTACCCTCTTCCTCTCTCTCTTTTTCCTCCCCCACCACCTCACCCAGGATTTCCTACATGCTCAACGTACACTCTGAACCAGATCCTACTCTCCTCCGTTTTTCTAGTCTCCCTTGAAATATTTTCCTTGAGGCTGGAGAAATGGCTCCCTTACGTTGTGGTTTTTCTATCCTGAGAATCCATGTACTCGATCAGTTGCGCTGTGGCAAAGAGGGTTTACCGACGACACAGTAGTCACTCCTCACTGCACCCCACCCCCACCCCCGCCTATCTGCCTTCCCACAAAAACTCAGACTTGGGGCTTGTTGTATCTGGTACCCCATGGTCCTTTCACACTGTGTGAGCTAGCTTTTCCTGTGGCAGCAGGCAGCCCTCTAGAGCACAGTGGGTTAAAACAGCAGACCTCAGTGTCTGTGCTCACGTGGCCTCAGGGCAGGGCTTTGGCTGCAGCCTTGCTGGGCTCAGCTCCGTGAATGTCTCTATTCAGAACCAAGGCTGAGGAAGGAAGTATTTCCATGACAGAAGCTTTAGCAAAAGGTGGGGGAATTAGATGAGAGTATCAGAGAGCAACTAAGACTTATGTCCTCTCTGTCACACTCACTTGGGTTGACCAGTCAAGTCACATGGTCCAGGGCTGGGGAAGTAATTCCACCCACAGGAAAGACATGGGCACTTATGCTAGTTTCCAGTCTGCCTCTGCGGTAATTCCTCGTACCCTTCCTCTGCAGTTGGAATTGGGAGGGAAAACTGACGTGCACGTGGAAAAGATGGAAGTTGTCCCCTGATGTCTGTAGGTGTGTCACACACTTCTGGAACAGTCCCTAGCCGCCCTGACTAAATGGTAATTCCATTCTTCCGAAGCCACTGCAGTTAGTTCAGGAGCTGGCCTGTGCATGGTGTCTGCAAGGATCCTTGTGGTCCTCGGTCCACCCGGCTATGATTTAAGGATATGAACTCATCAATACATTCCACTGCGATGTTCCCTCATCAGCAGCTTCCACACATGGAAACAGATACGGTGGTTTTGTGGTTTCCATGTTCTTTGCTGTTTTGCTTCCTACCGTATTTCCTTCTGATGATTTCGTTGTTTTGTTTCTTGTTAGGTTTCCCCTGTACTATGAGCTGAAGATTGCCTTTGTCATCTGGCTGCTCTCACCCTACACCAGAGGAGCGAGTTTAATATATAGAAAGTTCCTTCATCCTCTTCTTTCTTCAAAGGAAAGGGTAAGGTCGATCAGTTCTCACCACATCCTGTCTTTCAGTAGTGTATGTGTCAGCCTTATAAAAAGAGGCTTCCTAGCATTAATTCTAAATAAAACTAGCAAGGCATGGGGATGCACACCCAGGAAGGAGGCAGAGGCAGGCAGATCTCTTTTAAGTTTTAGGCTAGCCTGGTTTATATATCCATTTCCAGGCCAGCCAGGAAAAAAAAAAACCCATCTAAAAAAGAAAAAAAAAAAAAAGCTGAATAAACTAACCTCTATTGATATGTTCTTGTTACTATTTGCCAGTTTTGTTTTTAAAACAGGATCTCACAGTATCTTCTGGCTGACCTGGAACTCCCTATGTAGTCCAGGCTAGCCTCAGACTTAAAAAGATCTGCCTATCCAGAGTGTTGGAATTAAAGACATGCACTACCACACCCAGCTTAATTATTTTTTTTTTTTTTTTTTTTTACTCCGGACGTCAAGTAGCCCAGACTGGCTTTGAATTTACTATGTAACTGAAGATAACTTTGAACTTGTACTGTTTCTGCCCCTACCTCCCTACTGGGATAAGAGGGGTATGCTGCCGCACCTGACTTGACTGTTAACTGTTTGTCCCCAGGAAATTGACGATTACATTGTCCAAGCTAAGGAAAGAGGCTATGAGACGATGGTTAACTTCGGGCGTCAAGGTTTGAATTTGGCGGCTGCAGCCGCGGTCACAGCAGCAGTGAAGGTAAGGTTTCCTTGGTCATGTTTGGTGTTCCCATCAGCTCCATTCAGAAATGTGGCCACTTTAATTTTAGATCATTATAAAACTGTAGCAGAACTCTGTTTCATGTTTATTCTAGCACTTGAATAAACAAGTCGGTAATTTTAATGATATTTTAACACTTCGTTTTCTATGTTATTTGGGAGTCCAAGGCCCTTATTTTATTATGAAATTAAAGGTAGTTAATAAATAAAACATACCTGCAAATGTCATTTTGGGGTACAGTTTTCCCCCCTTTTAACCTTGAAATAGTTTTGATAACGCACCTTAAGTAAAGATGACCATTCTTTTCTCTGTGTCTTTGGTTTCTCTCTCTCTCCTCCTCTCTCTCTCTCTGTGCCACTGCCTTGCTAGGATTTCTGGCTTCCTTCTGCACCTCTGCTTCAACCAATTTGAGGTAACTGGTTATTCAAAATAAAGCATGTAAAAAGTTTGTCCTTCCAGCCGGGTCGCTGATTGAACGCCTTCTCTGGAGACCGGTGCTGTGGCTGTTGGGCTCCTGTGCATGTAGTAATTGGTGTGGCTTATTTTCAGTAGCATAGCACAACTGATTTTAGCGTGTGGTATACGAGAAAAAGAAAACAACGGACTTCACCCCCAGGAAGTGCTGACGGTGACTTTTAAAGTCACCATAAGCAGTTTGCTAATTTGTGTATGCCTTGGCTGCTCTGTGTATAAAACAAGGGTGACGTGTCTCTGAACATACATAATAGTACTGCGCTTGTTCAGAGTGGGAGCCAGGGATCCTTAATTTCATGGGGATGGTTTATTATATGGAGTAAAATTGGGGTAGTTAGTATTCTACTTTCAAGTCACGCTCTTTTGTTGTTTGCTGTTGTTTTAGGGTTTATTTTTGTGTTAATTGTGTGTATGTGTCTGTGTGTACCTGTGTGGGTATAATGCATGTGAGCACAGGTGCCCGTGCAGTCAGGAAGCCTAGGATTCCCTGGAGCTAGAGTTACAGACCATTGTGACCCTCCTAATGTGTACACTAGGAACTGAAAGTGGGTCCTCTGCAAGAGCAGCAAATGCTCCAAACTTCTGAGCCATGTCTCGAGCTCAAGGCAGGCTCTTTTTTTTTTTTTTTTGGTTTTTCGAGACAGGGTCTCTCTGTGTAGCTTTGCGCCTTTCCTGGATCTCACTCTGTAGACCAGGCTGGCCTCGAACCACCCGAGTGCTGGGATTAAAGGCGTGCGCCACCACCGCCCGGCAAGACAGACTCTTTTTAACTGAGCTGTGCTATGGAAAGATACAGTTCAGCTACGCAGTGATTTTACAGAACTGCAGTGGTGGAAGAGTGTTTGTGTGAGCACACTTTAACTCTGCAGAGACCCTTGGCTCACCCATCCACGTTTAACAGAATCAAAAACGGAGAACTCGGATGCTCTTCCTGGCAGTGTTGCAGTGAGGCCTAAGCAGAAATTCATTAATAGGATATACGTAGACAACTGTATTGAAAATGGTTATTGACTATTGTAGAATAGTATGCTACAATGTTTACTACTATATAGTGTGCCTCTTACTGAGCTTGTAAAGAGCTTTCCTTTCATTAAAAGAGATGAATAAACTCTAAAACAGCAGCATTTTGAGCTTATTGGAGTTTATTTTGCTTTTTGTTTCTTGCTTAATGGAAATGCATTGCTGATCACATATCTACCATGAAGACCACCCAAGAGATCGATCCATCCTTCACAACTAGATAGTGTGAAGGGGGGGGGGGGGCTGATGCAGTTATCGTAGATGGGGAAATCATGCCATATGTTGCAGTGTTGTGGGCAATGAGCCTCCAGTTCCAAGGGCCCATACATCACCGAGCACCACAGGGGAAAGAGTGGCCATCTCCAAGCAGGGCCATCACATTATTCCCACCCCACCCTCACCAAACACCAACAAGAAGGACAGAATTCTTAAAGATTTCAGAGATTAAAAGCACATCATGTTCAAATAATCTAGCATCAGAATAGCAGTAAACTTGTAGTTAATGAAAGAGAAGCATGAAGGCAGTGTGACATCACCCATGATGCCATCTTGTAACTCTGGGCCAAGTTCTATGCTGAGCAAAGCCTGTCAATCAGGTGTAAACCTAAAATAATTGAAAAAGAATAGATTTTGTTTTTCTTTTTAAGTTCTCCGTATGCAAACCCATAAAATGTATCAAATGCACACCTTATTCAGAATAGGTATGTTCTGCCAAAGCTAAAGAGGAGGGATGGGAGACAAGGAGACCCATGGACCTGGGAAATAGGTTGTCCAGCACCAAAGGGAGATGACAGAATTCCCTAGGACAATGCACATCAAGTCCAGAATCCAGCCGGAAGTGGATTCTGCGGATCGAAGGTGCTAACAGAGATGCTTCTGAATGAAGTACGGAATTGAAATATGGAGAATAGAATAGAATTAGCTTGATGCTGTGCAGGGGTGACACTTAATCCCAGCCATGTGTATGGTGTGACCCATCAAAGACCTCACCGGCTGCAGACAGCGTGTACCTGGGCACACACAGCCCTGCACACCGTGGGAAATGTATTGGTGACTTTGCACAGAGTAGGACGACAACTAAGCAAATGAAAATCAAAAAGGCAATTATTAACTCTGAGGGGGGGAGAAAAGCCAACAAAAATCCTATTAGACGCCAAGTGCACTAATGGAACCTGGCCCAGCCCAGCAGTAAGAAGAAGAATTTAACACCCGTCGTCTTGCTCTGCTGAGGCATGGGGGTGGGGAAGAGGGGCAGAGAGAGGGGCAGAGGTGGAAAAGAAAACTCTCACTCTTACAGCACAAGTCAGAGGGTTTAGAGTGTCTGCATCTAGAGTGGTGTGACCGCAGGTGGCTTCCTGCTTGCCATCTAAGCTCGCCATTGGTCGACTGTGCAGGCCAAGTGGATAGATTTATTTACACTTCAAAGACATTTCTGAACTTGCCTTTTTTTAAAAGCCTCATTCCACGTGATCCTGTATAGAAAACTGCAAATTCAGTTTCAACTTTAAATGTGCACTGAAAACGCATTTGAGGGCGTTGTTTTAGTAAATACAGAAAGAAACCCCCAACAGTTCTCAGTTTAACACTTGGAAACATTCCTCATGTGTTTTCTTGCCTGTGTGTACGGGCATCGTGTGCACGCCTGGTCCCCAGAGGCCAGAAGCAGGTATAGAAGCCCCTGTAACTAGAGTTACCATTGTTGTGAACTATTATGTGGGTGCTGGAAACTGAACCCACGTCTTTGGTAGGAACAGAGCAAATGATCTTAACCACTGAGTCATCTCTCCAACTCCTGAGACGTTATAGATTGTAACTACTTGTAAGGTATTTACTGCATCTTGACTTATATTTGCAAAGCCTATTCTTGCTTCATGAGAAGTCAGCAACCCTCACAACATAACTTTATCCTTATCCCCTCATTTTATCTTATTTTGCCTTAATCAGTTTTCACCATCCTACCATCCCATATATGGCACACTTAGCATCTCTACCTACCACCTTGTCTAAGATGGGTGCTGATGGTGCATTCTGAGATGGTTGGGCTCTGTGGCCTCACCGGCTGCTTACTGTCTGCCTGTAGCCAGTGTCTCTATTGCTAACTGAAAATTTTAACCCATCCTTTGGTTGCTACTCTGTTCCTAAATATTGTTATCTCAAAGAAAGACTTTTCTATAAAAAATGCCACAAAAGATAATCCTGTATCTACTTCCTCCTTTGTGATTCATGGATTTCACTTCTATATTTAACAACTCAAAATCAACTCTCAACTCCCCCGCCCCTGGCGGGGGGATGGGGGGTTTGCAGGAAACAGAGACTATAAAGCCACCACAGTCGCTACAAAACAAGCCCACCACTGAAGGTCACTGCCCTACTTGCTGGCATCGTGGTTCTTTAACCAAAAAAAAGTCTCAGTGCATGGGATGATGTCATGTTCTCATGACTGCAGGAGTGCTAGACACTCAGTTCTTGGTTCTGTTGTGTCTATTAGAAATAGTCAGTAACTGTGTTAAGTACTACATAATGTCAGCTCTGTTGGCCTCAAGGTATACTGTGCTTTTTTTAAGTGGCTGAAATTAGTTTCATCTCTGGGGACATTTAAAAAAAAATCTATTGTCACAAAAGAACTTACTAAAGCAGACATTTCATACTCAAGTAAATTGGAACCAAACTAAGAAATAGGTCACGATTAAAGAGAAACCGAAAGAAAAATGATACCAAAATGTGTGCATTGTTTAGTGTGGGGGGGGTGTGGGTGTGGGTGTGTGTGTATACATATATACCTATACATGTAGTTTGTTAGAAATACCTTTCAGGCTAAAAATTCTTACTCTGATTGTATAATATTTAGATAAGGGTGATTTCCTGCCTAGGATCCCCAGGTTGAATCACCTGAGCGTGTCAGAGATGAAAACAGGAATCTAATCAGAACATTTATTACACCGTAAAGCAATTTTCTGAAAATGTTACTCAGTCCTCTGGCCTCATTACCAGGCATCTGTTCACAAGGTCAGCGTACAAGTTTATTTTGGCTGAGCAAAGCACAAATACATGAAGGACCTTCAAGGATTCTGCTGAGGATGCTCAGCGTCCCTGCTTCCGCGTGGGAGATGCAGGTGGCATTGATGTAACTGACCAGCATCCATGCAATGAAGGGCAGGTGAAGAGCAGAGCTGCTGGCCCCTGTGGCCACCTCAGGATTCACTCCAGCAGCCTCTTCTCATTACAGCTCTTTAATAGACCCCCCCTCCCAAAAAAAAATTTATAGAAATTAGAGCTCTGCAGGTAAAATTACTGCAGTCTAATTGACTTTTTAAGCCACCATTATTGGCTTCAAATTCTTGACCTCTTGCTCTCTGTTTTAATGGCTTTCTGTCTGTGAAAGGCTTTTGAGATTATTCAGTTATAGAGTCCCATCCCTTTTTCTGTGGGGAAAAGGAAATTCCGCCTGTTTTCTTACAGTCCACAGAGCGGATTAGTGTAACCGA